CCGACATCATGTGAAGGAATAATGACTTCATTTCATATGCTTTAATATGTGTTTAGATATGTTTCTTTGATTGCGTCTCTCTCTCTCTCTGCAGCAATCAAAGAAATATATCTAAACATATTCAAGCATATTTAACTTAAACCGAGGGCAACTTTGCCGAAAACGCCTGTGGAAAGGTGCACCCAAAGTCAATTTTTAGCTCTTCTTGAACCATTTGCAGTATCCGCATAGTTTTGGTCACTTTTTGAACTCTTCAAAATGTCACATTATGAATATTTCTCCCATACAGTAAGAATTTGTGTAAGTGCTCCTGTCACTGAACTATGGATATTTGAATTTCTTTTCACAATATCTGCCTTGAAAATTGATTTAGAATGTTGATTAGGACTTGAAAACACGACATGATCAAAGCTTGAGGTCTCCCCAAGTTCCGCTTCAAATTTGGGAAGGGAACTCAGGCATAAAAGTTTGGGAAAAAAAGTTAGAGAGGCCAGACTGAGATGGTTTGGACATGTACAGAGGTGGGACAGTGGATACATTGGTCGGAGAACATTAGAGACGGAGCTACCAGGTCAGAGACAAGAGAGGAAGGCCAAAGAGGAGATTCATGGATGCGGTGAGAGAAGACATGCAGGTAGTTGGAGTCAGCGTAGAGGATGCAGAGAACAGGGAAAGATGGGAATTAATGACTCGCTGCGGCAACTCCTGAAAAGGGACAAGCCGAAAGGAGAAGAAAGTTAGTGGGAGGGAAGTCTAACCTGCCATGAGAGACGCCAACACAAGGAAAATCACTGTGCAACGCTCCATTCGGCCGCTGCAACAGTGCTCTTATCTGAAACATACAAATATTTACTTTGATGATAATCACACCTATTGGAAACAAAGCGACTGTAGAAAAAAAAAATCCCTGGCAATGACACTCATATTTCAAATCTCAGTCCCAAAGAAATGAAAACATTCGAAATAAATAACAGGAGGACGATTTAGAAATCCTCGATTCAACTGAATGTTCAAAAGGATCACACTTTTTGCATTTGAGTGGAGAGCAGCACCATTGCCGCCGTGTTTCGTCGCCCTTCCTTTGCACAGCACACAGTAAGATTGAATTGTCCGCTCAAAGTCAGACTATACTTAACGCTACTTTTCCCAACATTAACGCAAACAGTGATTGACTTGTCCACTTCTTTCGAGATTTCAAGCTGCCTTAACCCTGTCATGCCTGACCCATCAAGGAATAGCCAGAAAAATCTTGATTTCTGGGAACTGAGACGTTCATTAAAGTTGAAAAGATTGAAAAGAACTCAACTCTTTTAAGTCTGACATTTGGTTAGGTTGCTAATCTTTTAATCAAAGATGAAAATGGAACGATTGCACGGAATAACAAGGCACTCTAAACTTGGTCATCTAACAATAAATAAGGCATCCTGCCCCCCCCCCCCAAAATAAAAATGTAAATAAAAATAACGATGAGATAAATAATAGTTATAACCTGCCACTGGGTTCTGAAATCTTGACCTCTGACTGCTTCTGCAAAATGGTAAATTGTGTGCCTGTTGTCGCATTTGTCAGGACACACATCACTCTTTCATCCTTTGCATAACAGCACCCTTGTCACATAAACATCAAAACAATGTACAGTACAGGAAGTCCGTTTTCCCTCCAACTGGTCATGGCCAAATGAAGCTTTTTATCCAGTGACTTTATTTGAAACACTGCTGGCACAATTGTAATCACCCGAAAAACAACATCACGCACTATGTTTTCTTATGCAAGCTAACATTGGCAGAAATCAATGCCGTCCTCAAAATACAAATTAAAAAAAATGTCAATGTGAATCCAGAAAGGAATTCGCTGAGTTTCTTTGTGAAGTACTTTATTATGGAAATTCAAAACAAGTGTGCATGCAAACAATTAACAAAAATGACCAAGGCTTTGCTAATACGGACTGTGTGCTTGAGCCAGCTAACAATGTGTACCTGACGCTATCATGTCGTCAAATATCGAATCAAATATAACTGACACAATTGACAAGAATGAACGCAAATGTTTTTGATTGGAGGCTTTCACCATTTGTGCAAATTGTAGCCTGATAACAACAAACCAAAGTTGATTAAGCACACAGATGACCCGCGACCTCATCAGACGTCGATGCTCTCGGCCCGCTTGGAAGGGACGAAGGTGGCAGCGGGGGCATCAACCGATTCTCTGTGCAGCCTCATGTTGCAAAAGTGGAGGCTGCAATCTTCCAGGCACGGTCAGAACGACGCCAACCAACCAATGCCGGTCAAAAGTGACGCGCCGACACCCACCCAGCGCAGCGCGTTGCAGGTCTCCATCAGCTCTCCCTCATTGTTCACAGCCACATAATACCACACGGTGGCAATCAGCCCGCACAGCCCTGTGACCATAAACATAGCGAAATGACATCATGGCATCGCCAGGTGAGTGGAGCATTTCGTTTTGGTGGGGGGGTCAGGCTTTAGCCTTGATATGCTATCGGGGATGAAGTGGGATTAATTGGTTGGCCTTTTTTTTTTTTTCCTTTACACATTACAACGTTTAGCGCATTACAACATAAGACAAAGATCATGGCTTTAGAACTGCAGCTTCATATGAGGGAGAATAAATTGGCGTCAACATCCACTGGCTCAAAAGCACTCACCGGTGCTGAGCATGAAGACTGCGCCAGCGATGGTGAACGTGTTGATGCCAAAAAAACGACCATGTACAGTAAGGCGTTTTCAGCCGAAAAAAACGACCGTTTTTAGCTGACAAAAATGACCATGTATAGTAAGGCGTTTTTAGCCGAAAAAAAACGACCATGTATCGTAAGGCCTTTTAACCCGAAAAAAACGACCATGTATAGTAAGGCGTTTTTAGCCGAAAAAAAACGACCATGTGTAGTAAGCCGTTTTAACCTGACAAAAACGACCATGTATCATAAGGCGTTTTCAGTTGAAAAAAACGGCCATGTATAGTAAGGCGTTTTTAGCCGAAAAAAACGACCATGTATAGTAAGGCGTTTTTAG